GATCAGCCTGGGCAACAAAAAACAAAAATATTAGCTGGGTGTGATGGTGTGAGCCTGTGATCTCAGTTATTTGGGAGGCTGAGGCAGGAGGATGGCTTGAGCCCAGGAGTTCAAGGCTGTGGTTGAGCTATGTATGGTTGTGCCACTGCACTCCAGCCTGGGTGACAGAGCAAGACCCTGGTCTCTTAAAAAAAAAAAAAAAGTACAGTGTTCCCTCTGAGAAAATCATCTCTTTACTCATGGTCTATAATGTTAATAATTCTATTATTTTCTTATCAGAAAGAGATGGAATAATTCAAATATATATTTTCATCAAATTTATAACGTTAGCTGTATTCTAATTGTTTGATTAAATAAACCCTTGCAGGGAGTTGAGAGGAGTCTGGTAGGGTGTCTGGAACTATACAGAGTTTTTAAAGGAGGTTTTTCTTTCTTTAAAAAAAGAAAGCCTAAATCCTATATGTGTTCTCTATGAGTTAGAACAGCTGCTGCCTTCTGTTTTGTTTTGTTGTTAAGTTACCTAATTTTGTAAAAACTGGGAATTTCTTTTAAGTGGGTACTGAGGTAGTTAAACCTTTTCTTTGTTATCAAATTATTTAACATTGAGCAGCTCTATGTAAATGCCGGTTAACATTGCTCCTTAAACATGTTTTGTGTTTGTAGATGATAATTGGAAGACAGAGTATGTTCCAGTGCCTATCCCTGTGCCTGTGTATATCCCAGTACCTATGCACATGTACAGCCAGAATATTCCTGTTCCTACTACAGTTCCTGTTCCTGTAAGTCACAGTTTAAGTTCTTTTTCATTTTGAGATTTATCAGGTACAGTTGGAAAAACAATGTACAGTTGACCCTTGAACAACAAGGGTTTGAACTTCATGCGTCCAGTTATAAATGGATTTTTAAAAAATAAGTATGGTTGGCTCTCTGTATTGGTGGGTTCCACAGCCACAGCTAAACGTGACTGAAAATACAGTATTTGAGGGATGCAAAATACGTGTGTACAGGGAGGGCTGACTGCGGGCCTTGAGTAGATATGGATTTGGGTTTTGGTATCTGTGGGCGGTCCTAGAATCAATCCCTCGCAGATACTGGGGGAAGACTGTAGTTGCAATTACTAGCTTAGTGAAGCTAGTAAAACCAACTTCACTCCAGCAGTTAACTTAGATTTGGTGGAATCTCTTTTGTTGCTTTGGATTTAATCAGATGTATGTTTGTCCTTGAGAGTGAAGTTTAGCAGATGTCTGTGTCTGCTCTGTGCATAATGTGTTTTATGCTTTGGTTAATTAGGTGCCAGTTCCTGTTTTTCTGCCTGCTCCACTGGACAGCAGTGAGAAGATCCCTGCAGCAATTGAGGAGCTAAAAAGCAAAGTTTCTTCAGATCCTCTTGATACAGAGCTGCTTACAATGACAGATATGATGACTGAAGATGAGGGGAAAACAGAGACCACCAATGTTAATAGTGAGCTACGCTTATTATACCTTGTGAATATACCTTGTGAATAAGTATATTGTTGGTTTTTAAGCGTTGTAATTGGTACAGTACTTTCCAGGGCACATCATTGTGCTTCAGCTTAACACGGCAGTGGGGGAAATCTTACAACAAAAATGTATGTTAAGAGATCTACACTATATGTAACCAGGGTGCCCTCTTAAGCCAAGCCTGATCTCCAACAGAAATGTGTGTGGTCCCTATTTTAAGAGGATTTGACTGAAAAAATCAACTAAGAATTACTCTTGTTAATGGAGTAGCATAGACATAATACTAACTTGTAGTAGGCTCTAATAATGATCCATACTCTTTATTTTGTAGTAGGTATTCCCAATTTTGCTTTAATGCTTATGCTAATAAAATAACTGGCATTATCTAAACCAGGGTTTATTTTAACCTCT